TCATAGGAGTGCTTATATTGATTTTCTGACATCTTGTTTTCTGTAAAGATTTTATTGGTAGGTTTGCAAATGTGTATCAGACTGTGCAATCTCTCCATGAGTTGGTTTTGAAACCCAGTATGGGATTCTGAGATACATTATACAGGATATTATTACAAGATAAATCATTTGCTTCATTGAACACATACAACAATGCATATTTCCACTGAGATCAGTGATCTTTGATGTGTATCACCAGTTATCAGTCAAGTAGAAACAGTCAAAATATTTTATCAGATTTTCTCAATTTTTGCATGATATTTTCATACAGGACATCTGTTGTTCAAACTCAGGGAAGACATTATACTGATGAATAAGGTGACCAAGTTTGATGAAGTTTGGAATAGAATTAGTAAAGTTATTATGCACACAATAACAATTATTAACGACGACGACAACGACAACAACAACAACGCCGGACAAAATCTTTCCCTTAATATACCTTTCCCTTCCATCTTTGATGGTACGGGCAAGGTAAAAACGAAGATAACCCCTACAAAAAAGTAGTTTCATTTTGGCTGTTAAGAATATGTCAATTAAACTTGAAACAAATTTTTCACATCTCAAATATTAAAGCAATCGGGCTGGTAGTTTTCAAGAAAAAGGCGCAAATATCACTTTTATCAATAATGACAAAAATATTTGCTGAAAATTAATGATACGATCATGAAATGAACAAATCTGAGAGAGGTCTACCCGAGGTACCAAACAATTGTGCTAGTAGGTTTCAAAATCAAAAATGCCAAAAATATTTGCTAAAATTAGAGAATTAATGAAATCATCACGAAATCTGATATGAAAGAAACCAGTTGGTAGTTTTCAAGAAGTCAATAAACAGATGTCCATGTGACATAAATTAGTGTGAGGAATGGTATGTTGTTTTGATTTGTGAACATCCTGTTAAAACAAAAAAATTTTTGAGAGAGATTCGTTATCAACTTAATAATATATTGTATGTGTTAATTATATTCATCACCCACATTTACTGATCATTTTCAAAGACTCATGCATTTAGCAAGCAGTAATAGGCTTTATTGGACCTACGGTTTTGACATTATTCCAATAAACTGCACTTTCTACAAATAATTTCTAGTTTGTTAAACAGGTTAAGATACTTGCTAAATGTTTAACCTTTTCACCACTCTTTTCATCACAAATTGAAAAATAGTCCCATTTATAGTCTGCTCTTTCTTTCGGAATATTGGGACAAAAATAGCCAAATTTTTTGAGTAAAAACTGTAAATTGACCCAAACTTTGGCTGTTGGCTCAAAAATTAGGGTTCATTTCCAAAAATATTAAAGAATACAAGAAAAAAAGT